GTGACTGCACTCGGAGTGTATCAGTGACAGGGACAAAACAAAGAGGTTAGATCCAGTGACTTCCTTTTGCCTCCCCATGTTTCCATAGAGACGTGACTCTGATATCTGTACTTCAACCAGATACATCCTCAGTGGAAAGAGAGTGCAGGACTATCACAGGGACACAGATAACAAAAGTGCCATGTGTTGTCATGAATCACAAGACTATATTTGAGGCTTGATTTGATACTGAGTAAAAAGATTGATACTTGTAATACCACAAACTTGTTTTTTATTTCATGAAAGAGGCTCTCAATACAAAATAAATAATAATAGTTTTTGAAATATATTTCCAATTGTTTACTCAAGTTATTATATAGAGCAAGACTCTGAGAGTATTCAGTTGTTTTAGTATTCAGGATTTATTTAGGATTAATTTTTTGATAACCATAGTATGTGCTCACAGATCTGCATCATAGCATTTCTTACTTGAGGATTAGAGATAAAACAATTTTATTATCCAAGTGGCATTTTCACAATAGGCTTGTAATAAAAACAATTTTGAAGTGAGATAAATTGCTGATGATAAATGATAATATGGAACTAAAAAAAAAAAAAAAAAAAAAAAAAAAACATAAGCTGCAATAAATAAATAGAAGAATGAAATACTTTTGTACTTTAACTTGTTGGGTTCTTTTTAAAGACAATAAAGTAAAGTGTATTTACCTTGGCTTGTTGACGTGTTTCAGTTGGTAGTTGCAAGCTACCAGTGACAGTGACAGTTGATGGCTTGCATCACATGTCAACAAGGTAAATACACTTTACTGTAGTGTAGTTAAAAAAGAATCCAAGAAGTTAAAGTACATAAGAAGACAAAATGAACATCTTTGGTTTAAATACTTTTGTAGTTAGTTTGTATCTATAATGAGTCATAAAAGTTATTTATTCAACCCTCTACCACTCAAATCTTATTGTATTACAGAAAAATAACAAAACTTTTCTGTTGTGAAAGAAAACAAACAGAAGGATATGTGGTAACAAAATGCATGTGTAAGAGAAACTGCCAGTGCTGGGTTTGAAAGGTCATTCCTATAAATTTCCATGTGATATGTACATTTTTGATGATGTGAACCTTGTTCCCTTCTCCCTTCACCTGGCGTTGCTTTCTGGTCTTCTTCTGTCTGGCCAAAGCTGGCAATGCAGTAGCAACTAGATACTAAAATGTATCTATTTTAACATTTTCACTCATTAGTCTGTTCAAAAAGACAAATCAGATGCACAGAGATCACTGATAAACCATCCCCAGTAATTGTATTGCATGGAATATTCTGCACCTTAAACACTATATCATTCATTGATGAGATCTAGAAGTGAGTTAGACGACCACTGAGAATTGACTGACTTAAAACATGTGCTTGAAAATGCATTGCACCTCACACTGGGAGGATATTGGATAGTTGTGGCTAACACATTAACCTCTAAAACTGTGAAATGGTCAGACCACAAAGGTGGAATGGTTACGCAGGATGTACCAACGCAAATGAAGTGACACCTTTCCTGTCCTAAGAGAAATATTTGATAATATTTGTCCAGTCTCATACAACAAAGACACATGCCTCAATCCAGAGTCCCAGTATGGTTATGTATTCTATGAATGGGAAGATGAAAGATTGTAGCCAGGGAATCTGTCCCGTAAACACATGTCTATTTGTGGTCGAACAGAGAGATGGGTCATGAATGTCGGATTAGCAACAAGGTGGGACTTTGAATCTCATGTCCAGAGATCCTGACAACAACTTGCCAAAATACTGTCTATGATTAGAATGATCAGACACAGCTAGGGCCAACACCGAGCTCAGGGAGGTGCTGTAGTAAGATGTTGTGATATAGAGATTTCAACATGATGAAGAAATCGGAACCTGTAAGTGAACTTTTACTTACACTCCCCTTCCATATCTAGCATGTTAATATAAAATACAAACTTTTACATGCTGAAATATACACAAAATTTGTCATATCTTTCATGTAATTAAATTTCATTTCTTAATTTAAAATTGTGTTTAAAGGTGTGCTGCATAACGTTTCAGGTGGGGGGTCCATACCTCTATGCCTCCATGGAGATATTCCCGCTATGCCTGGAATGTTCCACAGGCATTGAATTTATCTATTCTGCATTTTTCAATTACAGGCTAAAAATATCTTGAAAAACATATATTGTTATCACATCACCTGCTTGTCTCCATGGAGAGAGAGCCTGTATTAATACCATACTGTGAAACAATTCCAGACAAAGCAATAATATCTCAGTGAAGAGAAGCACGTGAACCACCAGAAAAATTACATACTGCTGTAATCAGTCTTACAAACCACAGCAGTTTGTTTATTGTGGGTTGTGTTGCATTTTTCTTATGTGGAGGCAGGTACATTACAGGGCCAGTGCCTCATTATAGAATCCCACACTGATACAGCATTTTACCTCCCATACACACAGGATTAATGCTCAGGCTGACCCATATCCAGACCAAACACATAGTTTATACACACACCAAAAGCAGCCAAAAACACCAAAAAACACCTCCAGAAATGATTTGAGGTTCTGTGATACATGAGCAGCCATAAACAGGAACAAGACCAGGGCGTGGTAAATGATGATGCAGTCAATAGAGCATGTTTCCTGGACATTCACAATAACAGAATAGGGTTGGGCAATATTGACAAAAGAAAAAAACTGGCAATCCAGCAGAACAGAAATGTGCCTAAACATGTTTTTAAATCATTACTTGAGGTTTACAATGTGAAAAGACTACAAAACTACCCACAAAAGTGCAGGAATATCACTTTAACCCACTGTTTGAAAGAACATTTGTCCTTTAACCTATTTTTTATTTATTTATTTTTAATCCAGTTTTTGCTACATTATGAGATAAGTTTTTATTATTATTTATTATACAATTTAAATGATATTACAATTTTGCGTATCTTCAAAACAAGATTAACAATATTATCATGATTTAGATTTTGACATATGCCCCCCCCAATTAAAAACACCACATTTGAATGCATACGTTAAAGGTGCACTATGCAACTTTTCTGGAGGAGGATCTGCTAGCTTGTCTCCATGGAAATGTTATTGCTTTGCCTGGAATGTTCCACTGTATGGCATTAAACATATCGGTATAGCATTTATTCATTTTGGGTGTTTCTGTTGCTCAAAAATACAATAATTCCTTCTGTAAATAGGGGCAACTCTCCACAGAACTGAATTGCATTGTACCGTAGTAACCTGCTTGTCTCCCTCGTTATAGATAAGTTAAATCTATACTGTCATACATTCTAGGCAAAGCAACAACATTTTTATGGAGACAACAGACCCTCCACTACAAATGTTACACAGTGCACCTTTAAATATTATAAAATAAAGGTATCATAAACACATTACAAAACAATACTATCGTCTATCTATATTCAAGTAAATTAGCACTTAACAAGTCTGCTTCAAACATCCAATCAGTAGTAATGGAAAATGGCTTTGAACAACACAAAACCAATAAAGCATGCCTCTATATAAAGAGTGTATGGGGTAATTTGACCTTTCCAAGTCTCTCTTTGGAATCGCACTCTCAGATCCTCAAACACTCAGGGATCAACAGCAGTAATGAAAGCGTCCATAGACACTGGTCACATGGGCTGACACATGCACAGCTATAAATGGACTCAATGCATCTCACATGAAGAGTGTGAGACAGGGGACTTTTTTGACAGTTACCACGAGACAAACCAACTATGTCTTCACATGGTCCAGTTGGCCTGCCCTATGAATGTGCAAAATGACAGTTAATGAATATAATGTGCCGGTGACCTGGAAGACTGTAGCTTCATTTGCATATTAATAGTGCGCCTGAAGAAAACTAATTAGCAATCCCCCCCATCCTCAAATAAACGGGATCTCAACACACTTGCACTTGACAATGCATAAATGCCTTCCATCTCAATGTAAAAGTGAGGCTAGAAAAGATATCTGGCATAGGGCCTATTGCAACTAAGAAAGTGATTGTCATTCTATTGGAAACAGAAGACTTACACTTACCACATAGTACAAATGAATAATGAAGAGGACAATATAATACAAAAAACAAACAAAAACATCAGACTGAACTTTGGACTCTGCTACGTGGTATGGTAAGATAAAATATCAATCAGTTCAATTAAATAAACAATGTTTTCTTCTAAAGTCCAAGCAATACTAGTTCTTTATAGTCCAAAAGCCAGTTGGAGCCATGGTGATGCCCATTTGAGCAAACACACCCGTTTCATAGTACGTCCCACAGCTGGGTGCACTCTGTACCCTCTCACCCATTCTCACTCAAGCATGTATCACACTATGATCTTCAACTACAGAGCTTATAGAAGCTCTTTTAGAAACTACTGACAGAAAGACTGAAAACACACATTTGACTTGCAGTCAAAAAAAAAGCTTGTGTTAATCAAATAATTCTACTTTTTTGTTCAAACGGACCATCTCACACTGAGTGTGCACTGTGTAGCCATTTTGCAGTCTACATTAAAGTAACCATACGGTAAACATAATATATTCTACGCACCAGTGTTTTTCATTTGGTTTCATTGGGTGTAACTGATCTAAGATCAAGCACTTAGGCATGCAGCATGTCCAGCCCAGTCCCGCGCCTGTGACCAAACAGAACAACACTGGCCAAATAAATGACAGATGTAGTTAAAGTCTTCAGAGAGCAAAGGAAATTTAATGTAATAAAAGAGACACACATGTCTTAAACAAAGGGAAACACTGCAGTCCAAAAGCCAATCAGTGTGCAGCGTGTATGAGAGTGGAGCCACATGTTTTTGATAAGTCCTCCAGCAGAGAGTGAGGTAATGATGAAGTCATCTGTGTCCTCTGGACAGGTTCAAATGCACTGAGCCGTGTGCATTTTAAACAGCCACAGACTCGCGTTTAGCACTACACACCTAAATTACTTAAGCCAAACATTCCAAGAAAGCGCAGACTTCACAACATACAATCACCGCGCAAAAATATATTGTTTATGTTTCATAATAGCACTGTCTGTAAAAGGTCACTTTTGCTAAAAGACAAAACATTTAGTTCATTTCATTCAGGGAGGGTAATGAAAGCGAATGAAAGTGTGTAGCCAACAACAGCACTGAACAGTTATTGTCATGTTGTCTCTAGCAGCTATACGAGGACTCCTGCGCTGCTATGAGGTAGATTTCTTTATTGGGCAATTGTGCAGACAACTAAGACAACTTTTTGGTTCCACATATTCAGGGTTAGCTGGGGATGTAGTGGGCTATTAATATTCCCAGAGGCAGTGCACGTGGATCATAATTCACAACTGCAGTACTGCTGTGTGTGAGGTTTTGCCTCATGACTCTGCACTTGAACCACGAGCAGGAGGCTAGCATCAGCATCAAGGTGATAATAAAAGAAAATCAGAATGACAGTGTGTGATTTGAGCGTCTGGGATTCACCTTATTACTTTTCAACACATGGCTTACGCATGTGGCATGACAGATCACTCACCTGCACCAAAAGAGAAAGACTTGACGGCGCTGACGTTTGTCCTCAGGTACGTGTAGCTCACAGATTTTCAGTGTCGGTTCACAACTCCTGGACCCTGCTCTCTGCCCGCTCTGCACTCTCCAAATAAGATCCTTTTGTGGCAGGAAGTAAGGTTCAGTCCTTTTTTATCCGTAGCACTTTGTTGCTAATACTCATGCAGCTTTAGCGTGGGCTAGTAGAGACCATGCACGAGGCAGACACTGTGATTTTGATAAGAAATGTCTATGTGTTTTAGACCGAAGCTTAGCAATGTCCCACAGAACAGAACAGCCATAAGTTAAAGGCCAGGCTAACTCTATAAAATACTATGAGCTACATACTGTCTTCTTTCTTATGCATAGTGACTTTAAAGTAATAATAGCTCCCTCTAGTGTTTAATATTACGTACTACATCAACACAGGGTTTGGTGTAGTCGAACTAGGTTGTTATAATAAATAACCAAGAAATTTTGATTATTCCCTTTACCAGAACATTGGCCTATGTAGTGCTGGTTTTCAGTCATGCAAACTGCCATGCCAAATGCATTTTAGGGATGTCAGTCACAGTAGGCCTATTCATTTGTGTCATAATTATTGTGAGAGTATTAGAAATCTCTCATTTCTACAGTTGTTCCAAATTATTTACACCAATCAACCAATCAAAAGTGAAATCCTAAAATCACTTTCGTTCACAGTATCTAATAAATCATAAGACTATATCTTAATGAAACCAACATTTAATTAACACATCTATACTATTTTCACTGTTATATATTTTTTTATTTTATGGGTATACTCAGAAAAAATCGATAATACAATCCTTAACTTTCTGTTATCTTGTAACTAATATATTGTGACCTAAATAACCTCGATTATTCATTAACTATTACAGTGTGGCCATGGGAATTAACACAGTGAGCAATTATTATTTTTATTTGCTCACACGTTAGATTAGGCTACAAGTTAGGAAAAACATGCATCGCACACAATGCTGCATTGTCACTGCAGGTGCAATTGCAATTCAATATCTGATAATGTTAGGACATTGTTGGTCTTATTCTAAAAGCTTGTAATAAAACCCCCATCATCAAGTGTAATTTATTTATTTTCCTTGTAATTTATTTTAACCTGTGTGTTTTTTTTTTTTTTAGACAATTCACAATACGTACATAATATGAGAGAGGCGGAAAAAGGAGGTCATTATTAATGGTCAAGAAATGTGATTATGAGTGTGTAAATGAACATCAAGGCTACACTGGATTAGATCTTCCACTGTTCACCCCGTTCCCTGTACTAGATAAAAAGAATCTCAAATTATTTTAAAATATCTTTATAGTAAATCTGATGAAAAAACAGCCTAACTCACTCTCAGGCCAGTAAAAAATTGTGTTGCTTTTCCATCCTGTCTTGTTTTTGGAGATGCTTAAGGTTTGTGCAATGAAGGACGCATTTACAATTACAGACCAGCTGCAATCAGTCATTTTGGACCTGTGCCACTTCAGAGACCCTCCAAAATGTGTAAAGAGCTGTGTGGTCTACCCCCAAAATAGAGCACAATAATGGGTCATCATCAGGCTGCTATTCTTAGAGCAAGTTACTATTTCTTCTTTACCCTGCCACAAGGACGACTAAGGTGTAGTTATGCGAGGAACAGGAAGAGGCTAAACATGGGTCTCACAAGAGCAGCTAAATATATTTTTCCACATGTCACGGCAGCAGTCAGCATCAGCTTTTTGGAAAATGCCTCTGAAAATATTACTAACAGAGGCCATAATGAGACAATCAGCTCACTCTATGACCTTAATAGATATAACATAACATAAAGATTATGCGTTGGATGTCACAAAATCTAATTTTAGTGTTACAATTACTGTTATTATCACAATTTTACAATTATTTGACACCAGGGTCAAACAAAACCTTTCATTCAGATGAACTGACATTCTCTAATATAAAGTTAATGTGGTATAAACAGACTAAAACAATTTAATTCAGACTTACATTTTCAGAATATAAAGTCATCTGAAATATTATTGATACTAATATTGACATCCCTATTGTTATGGATTGAAAAATGTTGTATTACTGTATGTTATATTACTGTAAATGCTGCAGGACTATGATTTATTTGACCAAAAATTCATCTGATCCTTCTGCCTCCCCTATAAACTGTATGTGAATGGCACCCTGTCGACCAATCAGAGGCCAGCAGACATAGTAGCTCTCCCCTGTGTACTGAACAGGGGAGACTACACTGGGCTGCACATGTCAGGAGACAGTCAGAGGTGCACAACTCTCAGACTCTCCACAGATCTGCACTGTTGCTTCTGTTAAGTCTTGTTTTTATGAGCACGTCTTTTCATAATCCTTTTATCTTGGGTGTCTGTCTCAAACTTAAATGTCAACATGGGATTTATGACCGCAGCTCTGCTGTTTTTAATTTATGGTGAGTTGATGATTGACATGATTTAAGACAGTATTCCTCGAGTGTTAATGTGTAAGCTATAATTATCTTTAGTGTTGTGTTGTTGATTTCTAAATTGCTCAATGTAGGTCAATGTGAATATTTAACTTTAACTCTTTAGAAGTACTCAGTACTCTTTACTTGAGAAAAATACAGGTATGATATGCAAATGTAAATGCAAAATGTACTCAAAGTAAAACAATTTGTGTACTACAGAGTTTAAATTTGACAGATAATTTGTTAATTGTCTGGCTTTTCTTCTGAGCTGTATTCAAACTCTTAACACTGAGGCAAATCACCTTTAAAGTGTTGTAGCTCAACACCTAGACTATTATATTACATTTGAACTAAACCTTAACTTAACTTATATAATCATGCTCTAAAATGTAGTAACATAGATCTCACAGGAAATTAGAAAAATAGGTCAATTAAAACCATATGACAGTGGAAAAAGTATGGACTTAATTACGCTAAATTGAGTTTGTCCCTGTACTAACTTATTAATAGAGGTCTTAATCAACTCATGTAACAGAACTACAAATGTTTCATTCTTAATTTGGACACATTATATACGAATTTTACTGTAAATGTCCCATTTGTTTAGAGAATTCTTCCATGTTGTGGATAGACATTGTATTTTTGATTCTTTTATTGTGACAGTGTTTTATTCTTGTTTCGTTCTCAGAAAATGCTTGTGCTGTTCAGTTCCTGGCACCTCTGAACATGGGCGGAGTAACGGGACAGGTGCAGTTTGACTCCACGTCACAGATGGCCACCCTCAGCGTCTCAGGTGCTGGCTCCTGCTCCTCTTTGAAACTGTCCATCACTGAGTTTCCCGTCATGTATGGCCACTTTGCTCACCCCTGCTCAGAAATCCACATTGGCTCCAAAATTTTTAACTTCTCCGTTGACAGCCCAAACTCCGCCATTAATGTCTCAGAGCTGTTTTTGCTCAGGTCAAGTTTAGATGACTGCTCACTGACCATACACACTTGTGATGGCACTGAAGTCTGCACTGTTGTTAGTGGAGGTCAGAAGCTCTTGACACGCCAGGCTAGGGTCACTGGATCCATAGCTGGAAATGTTTATTTACGCCATAGTCCAGAACTACTCAACCAGTGGCTTCTCTTAGATGTAGTTAGAGTTGACCAGATTGATGTAGTTAGTGTTGTCATTCATGGTTCTGTAAGCACTGCTGCAAACTGTGAAGAATTTCTTGGAAACATAAATTCTGCGTCTTTAACAAATCTTGGTGAAGTAGCTCTCTTTCCTACTATGCAACCACAAAAGCGTCGATTGCATTTGAAAAATTTTAACGTAAAAACTCGCTTTTTTGTTTTCTCATATGGAACAGGTTTCCATTGTGCTGAAATCTATGATCTACCAGAGAAGCATATTACGGCTGTGATCAATATGAAAGGCATTAAAGGGTATTTTAGCTTCCAACAAGCTTCTCCTTTCAGTGTAACAGAGTTGGCTGTCAATTTGACTAACTTACAAAGCGAAGTTGGTCCATACCACGTCCACCTATTTCCTGTCCCCTCTCTTAGGAATCCTCTTTCTAGCATATGTTCAAATGATAATCTGGGTGGACACTGGAACCCTTTTGGAGTAGATGCTAAAGACCCAGCATATCCAAAAGGACCAGGGTCTACTCATGACAAATATGAAATGGGGGATCTCAGTTCAAAACACATGTCTTTAGCAGGTAAAACTGAATTTGAAACTGTGTTTAAAGATTATAGCCTCCCTTTGTATGGACAGAACAGTATTGTAGGTCGTTCTGTAGTTATCCATAAATTAGATGGGTCTAGGTATGTTTGTGCCAGTATTAGCTATCCCGGAGAGGTAATAGTTGCTAGGGCTAGATTCTTAAGTCCTGTCATTGGAGAAGTTTGGTTCTCTCAACTTAAAAACCACCCTTTGTCTGATGTGTCAATCTTTTTGGATTTAAGTTATGGGAATTCAGCTACAGCGCCGACCAAAAGCCACAACTGGCATGTCCACACCTACCCTATTGGTTCTGAACGAGATGACAGTGATGGACGATGCATCACCACAGAAGGGCACTGGAACCCTTTTAGAGTAGACACAGAACATATGAGCTATAACACATACTGCAGTTCTGCGAGTCCTCTATCTTGTGAAGTTGGAGATTTGTCTGGCAAACATACTACAGTCAACTTGGGTGTCAATGCGGGTGCAGTGGAGGCGAAACATTTCTTCACTGATGTAACTTCATGGGTGCCTGGCATTGTTGGAAGATCTTTAGTTCTTCACCAAGCTGAAAAAGCAGGCCCGAGGATAGCTTGTGCCAACATCACAGTGGTTCGGACACCCAAAGCAAGTCTAGGAACCTGGCACGGGCCTGGAACATCAAATGGACAGATTGAATTTACTCAGTCCCTCCCACTTGGTCCCACAAAGGTCACTGTGTCTCTGACTGATCTGAATTCACAGGCAGGGGGCTATCATATCCATATACTACCCATATCACCTGGATATCCCCAACCCTGCTCTGATGCAAATATTCATGGACACTTCAACCCTCTGGAGTGGGATGTCCTGAGCTCCCCTGATCCTGGGATGGGCACCTTGGATCAATACGAAGTGGGCGATATAAGTGGGAAGTTCGGGATGCTGACAGGACACGATGAGATGCAGTCTGTTCTCTCAGATTCCAACCTGCCACTCACAGGACCGTACAGTATTGTGGGGAGGTCTGTGGTGGTCCACTACACTAACGGATCAAGGTAAAAAAATATCATCAGTCTATGCATTTGAAATACAATTTTTATGTATTTATTTATTGGGTCAGGTTATTAGACCAAAGTAATGTACAGAAAAAGGTACAGTTTAAGTAATTTATTCTACCCCCCTCCAGTGGTGCAAGAAGTACACAGTTTTGTTAAATAAAAAGTACAGATATAGTTTGAAATACAATCTGAGTCAACTTGTCAAACTGGAAAATGTGTAGGGAATAAAGGAATTGTGTGTGACAACAACAACATATATTAAGCTGTTGATTAAGATGTTACTATTCTTTTTTGATCCAGAATGCGTTGTGCTGATATCACAGCAGATAAGGACACAGATGGACACTGGGCAATGGCTAAGGGAGTTTTCAACAGTACTCTGACAGGAACTGTGCTGATGGTAATGCTAGTTTTATATTTATACTTTTCTGAACCAGCGCAGCGCTGCTATATAATATAAAATTCAACTAATACAATGTGTTTATTAATAAGATACAAATTTACTGGAGGAGATGGTTTTCTACAAACTTATTTTTATTATTACACAATACGATTATTAAGTCAACTTCTTTCTTTTTCTGAAAATGTTTCAGTGGTGATTGAGTGGGTTGACTGAGTTGAGAAAAAGAAAGAACGAAATCAATTTCATCTGATAATAATTGTTTTGTTTTTAGTAGAATTCAGCACATAAATTTCTATTGCTAAACAAATATAAATCCAAAATACAAATATAAAATGCTGATTCTTAGACTGTTAATGATGCATAATGTAGTGTAATGATTGAAATGTGCACTGTATTTAAAACTCAACCCAGCTGCCATAAAAACATGACTGAGTATGTTTCTTTGCTGTACCAGGGAGTTGGGCATAGCGAATTTATTAGCATAGCCGTAGCATTGGTGTCCTGGTTGGTTGAATCTAAACTGCAGGAACAGCTGCGCGTGTCAGCCCTGTCCCAATGCCCCTACTGAGCTGTGCGTCTGTGACATAGGCGACCAGTAAAATCAAAATATAGACAATTGAAACAGGGGTACGGGACCCTTCATTGAAATAATTTTGTTTTAATTTGTCTTTTTTCTGGTTTTAGCGTCAGCAAATATTTTCTGATGGGAGCAGCATGGATACTACTCTTGAAGTGACTCTACATTCAGCTACAGGGGTGATCAGTGTAAGTTTTCCAGGCGGGTGGACATTTGGCACAAAACTCTGATAACTTAACGCCATAGTAAATAAAGATTTTCCCAGCCCCAAGTAGATACAATCACATACAGAGATAAAGTGAAAGGACAGTAGGTGATTGTACAGTGTGTTACAAGATATAGAGAGTTACCTTATATAAATGTTGGCTTTGCTTTTACTGCCAAGTTCAAGTTCCTGGATTTTCTAAAAGGTGGCTCTCGAATTACAACTTGAGCCTCACTGCTAGTGCCAGACTTGTATATCTAGAGAACAAAAGACACACCTAAAGTTTCAATTTGGAGACTTAAGTGAATGTATGTTTACTGTAACCCAAATGTGTTTTGCAGTCAAATGTTTCATTGCACATCTCAACTAACCGAATAGGTGGATATGGGTGCACTAAAAATGGAGGCGTGTACAATCCCTTCAACATGGCAACCTCGGTAAGTTTTTGTTATATTCCTCCTATATAGGACAAGTACAATATAATAGAGTTATATCAGGAAAAGTATAATATAATAGAGGTATATCTTCATGTAATGTTGTCTCTCCTCAGAGCTCTACTTGTTCAATGGAGAATCCCCTGAGCTGTGTGTGCGGTGAGATTTCAATGAGGCAAGACCCGCTCAGTCTGACCCAGAGACAGGTTTACACTGACAGGATGGTACTCCTCACTGGAGACTTCACTGGTAAAAGAGTTTTATCATTTCATTCACGTTTCTACAGTAGTTATTTATGTGAACTGAATGGATTGAATTGTTTGGTTTTAGTTGTCCATCGATCGTTAGTTGTAAAGAATGGGGACATCATAATAGCTTGTGCAGACATCCTGCCAGAGTCGCCCTCTGCAGAGCAGTCCTTTCCTACAGTGATACAATTCAGCAGGTGAGTCTGTACAATATATAAGTAGCATTGTTAACCACTATAAAAAGGTGGTTGCTTGTACTATTAATAATAATAATACGCATTACCATGATACTTAACATAAATAAAAGCAGCATAGACCAATAGTTTTTGAGTAATAATTTGCACAATATTTCAATTAAGCTTTTACAAATGATATGTAACATTTCCATACTGTAGGTGACATGACAAGCAAAGCAAACAAATGTTCCAATGTCAGTGTTAAATGTATATATTTTTTTTCCTTTCTATTTCTTTTTTAGATATGACTTCAGAAGGAGAGTGGCTGATGTTTTGCAACTAGAAATATCACAAGTCACTATTCTGGCTGGATCTCCTGAGCCTGCAGCTAATGGACGCTGCCAGAGAGTCCACTTCATGGTTGCAGGTAATATTTGCCAACCTTAAAATGAATATTCAAATGGAATGCTATTATGAAATAGTAAATGTTATTGTGCTATTTCTCAAATGATTAATATATAATTTTAAGAATGATAATAATAGATTGCTTGAATCAGAATGTAAACTCTTAAACCCCCAGTCTGTGAGGTTGTCCTCTTTTCCTTATCACACTCCTATCAGGATCATGATAGCCAGCACATTATTTGTAGAAACAATGAACAATTACACCCATTGAAAACTTTAGAAACCTGAAAAATTACTCAGCAACCTGACACTGGGCTCTCACCCACCACTGTGGGGGAACAGAGAGCTGCCTGTACACAGTATAGCAGCACTAGCATAAACAAGCTGCAAGGTCCCCCACTAGTTTTACAGTGCATAACCTATTATTAGCCGTAATTGACCCAAATTAACATATAATTTTGAACGTTAAATTATTGTTGTGGAAATACTAGACAAGCCCAAGCTATTATATGATAAAGCACCTACATGAATCATTGGGCATTTGATAAGAGCATCTTCTGGTTTGTATAACATGTGCTTAATACTACTTAATCTTTGAATTGTCAACACTTTTCTGCAAGTTGTAAGTCACTATAGGGCCAAAATACAGGAGCACAACAATTTTCGAACTGAAGTGGTACTTTAGTGTGCAATTATGGGTTTCCACATCTGTGTCTCTAAGGTGATGTTAACCCCACGCTCCTGAAGTCTGTCAAAACAAGTGAGAAGATGGGCTTGTTTAAAGAGTCAGCTGTGTGCTTGAGTAAGTGCAGATTTTTTCTTTGCTTTAACATATTGTGCTTAGTTTTTAAAATAATAAATGTATTTTTGTTGACTTTAGGAGGTGCCAGTGTGCTTCTTCAGCCTGGGAAACTTCTTGTCTTTGTAGTTACTGTTGTCCTGTTACTGTGAGAATAAAAAAATGACATAGGTCTATGCCTCAATAATGCTGATTATTTCCGTGGTGGACTTGTTGAAAAGGTTAAAAAGAATTATTGCATTCGGGGTAAAAAATAAGCAACCACTGCTTGCATGATTGTTTACATTGTATTTTTTTACTTAAATCGATAAATGTACTGTACATTTTGATTTGTTTTCCACAAAACTTGTATTTGTGTAAAATGTTTGTGTTTTTATTTTTTATCAAAATTAGTTTGTCATGCATTACCAAGGATTCTTTATGTCAAATAAATTCACTGTAAATAAAACAAATCTGTGAATAAAATTGAATTATATTTCTACTTTGTGTCACTTTTCTGATATCATATAGAAAGTACATTTTGTATTTTCATCGATTTGCTGCTTATGAATAAAGTGGTTCATTAGCTCATTTGGGTGCTTATACATTGTAAACAGTGAAATTCATTCATTCATACTGTCTTTGTGCTTGAGGGATGCTCCATTATTCACAGAAAAGAGGCGAGTCTGCAACCCTCGGCGTCTACTGGCAGAGACCGCAGTCACGTGACCAGAAACGTCAACAGCGCAATGGCAGCCTCCTGTTTGTAAATTAACACAAGGTCCAAGCTGGTAAAGGAGTGCACTTTTTTTGCACAAGACTGACCATTTCGAGGTACAACGACTGGGTGTGTATTCAGGATTGCATTTGTGTCCTTTTGGGCTTAGTTGAAGTGAGCTAGCAAAGCTTTTCTATCTTAAATGTTCCGTCGTGTTGTTACTGCGTGGCGATGTTGTGTTTTCAAAGGCGAGACGAGCCCACACCCACGCATGTGACTACATCGTCCTGTGCAAATCCCCCGATCCTTTACTTGTCAAAAAGGGAGGACGAATGTTATTAATGACCATCTTAACCGGGTGGGTACCACACCCACTTGCGTTATACACGAGATACAAATGATGGTGCTGCTGATGTTATGTATGAACAAACTAAATACCAATTATTAAACTGAACATGGATGGGCTTGAGAAAAATTTAGTTGGACGCAATTAAACATGTGCATTGAAATAATGAATGAATGCGTTTCTGAATAATTTGTGACCAAGTTGTAAACAAGAATCTCATGCGAAGTGTCAGCCAATAGGAGGGCTCGTGGATGAATGCTTGAACCGGATTGGTCATCATATATGAACGGGATCTGGCTGTTATTGTATCATAAAACTATATGACAAGGCCTATATTACTTAATCTTTTACTTTTTAACTACATGTGCAGTCTGAAAGTTGCAGAGTCAGCAGATGTTTGTAGGGTGATAGGTTTAGGTGGTGACAGTGACTTTGAGCTCCACGTTATTAGTCTGTAACTCCTCAGCAGTCAGGGCCCAGTCAACATGACCTCCGTGGAGCCAGGTAAAACTAAAGCAGTCTCAAATGGTTAGCCTATTGTTTATCACTTATTGAGTAAATTTATAAGGCTTAATTTTTTTATTTATTTAAATTTTTTTCAGATTTACACTTCTTTTCATTACTTATGTAAAAGTACAGAATACTCCTGGCACTCCTTACTTATGTTAAAGTAATTGCTTTAGACATTATTGTAGTACTTTTTTTATTTGTTTTCACATATCATATAAATTATTATATACTTTTTGTGAAAAATAATGTGACTTGAATACAATGGTCAACTTACTGAAAAGATGTAAAGTGTATTTTGGTCATATCCATTTCAGTCCACTCATTTAACTATAGTATACCATGTTTATATAAAAAAGCTGATTATTCAAAATTAGAAAGGATCACAACTTCAAACTGGCTAATCAAATCTATTCCAAATCCACTTCTTGTACAGCAACACTAGTGGGGCAGACCTGTGTCCTTCATGTCATGAGTCTTAATGCATTGGAATGTGCATCAAAAGCCTTTTAAAAGAGACAAATGCAATACAAATAACTACTAAATAATAACTATAAGCAACTCAAGTAAAGTACAGATCCTTCCCATAAATTGTACTTCAGTTAATGTACTTCATCACTAACCACCTCTGATTTTATCTCAATCTTTTTAGATACTACAATGTCTCCAAAGATCACTGGAGAGCTGCTTCGGCTTCTTCGCCAGGCAATGAAAAGCTGTAAATACTTCCCTGAACCAATACACGCTTACATAGTCCCTTCTGGAGATGCACACCAGGTTTGCTTACTACACTCATTCTTTTTTCTTTTCTTCTTTTTTTTTTTTTTTGTTATTGTTTTTTTTTATTATTATTATTTTGCTCTCTCAACAGCCCCAAAGATATTAATAATATTTCATTTTATCAGCTTGCATACATTTATATGGGCCAGCTCAAAATACATTCTTCAGCCATATAAACATAAGGATAACCCCTTAAAGTAGCACCTACGCCTAAAGTAGCATCTTAACTTTCCACCTTGATGTAATGTACAGTAGGATTTGTTCATCATTTTTATGCCAGTTTCAAATCCAGTTTACTCAAATACTGAATAAGATATAAAAAAAATCCACTCTGTATTTTTTTATATCTAATGTCAACAAACTGAAGTTGAAACAGAAATTTAAACCTGGCTCTGTCCATTTTTCAGACCTATGTCCCAAATATGATGCATTTTGGTCATTTTTACACATAAAATAATGCTGTATTTTATATGAAAACATTAAGTGACATAACTTCTAATAATTTTTTTCTTCCATGTATTTAAATAAACTATAGAAGTTTCAGATTGATTTTTTCCCCTTTTCAGCTTGTGTGTCTTGCCTTAATTTTTTTTACATTCATTGGCTGAAGTTCTATGCATTTTTTCTGTCACTGTAGCTTTTCATGGGGTAATCTTGATTAGTTTTGTCTGGTCTGACCTTCCACATTAATTACAGCCCTTTGCCAACTGTTCCTCCCATTTCCCTCTTGAAGCACCAGTCACGATGTGAGACGAATAGTAATCTGTCCTCTCCTGTTTACAGAGTGAATACATTGCCCCTTGTGATTGCAGACGAGAGTTTATCTCTGGGTTCAATGGTTCTGCAGGTATTGTCTTTTGTATTGGGTTGATATCAAACCCTTTTTAAAATGTTATCAAATATCTGTATTCAACCACTGTTGGAAACTCTATCTCCCTTTGATACAATAAAAATAGACATCAATGAGGTTATTATGTGACTGTCCTAAATTTTGGACAAAAAGGCTTTTGCTTTACTATTTTCTTTGTCTCGTGTTTCATAATCTAGGAACAGCCATTGTGACAGAGCAGCATGCTGCGCTGTGGACTGATGGGCGATACTTCCTCCAGGCCAGTCAACAGATGGACAACAACTGGACTCTTATGAAAATGGGTAAATGTCCAATGTAAAACAAGTGCTATTTGATTCAGCTTTATTACCTCTGCCAAGGAGGTTATGTTTTTGCCGGCGTTTGTCTGTTTGTTTGTTTGTTTGTTTGTTTGTCTGTTAGCAACATAACTCAAAAAGTTATGGACCGATTTTGATGAAATTTTCAGGATTTGTTGGAAATGTGAAAAGGAAGAACTGATTTCATTTTGGGGGTGATCCGGAAGAAATCCTGGATTCTGGATCACTTTGAAATTTTAGTTTCTCAGTATCTCGGTTAATTATTGACCAAACCCCATGAAATTTGACTCAGGGATGGACAATGGGATCCTCTTTCATATTCCGGATCTGATCCAGAAGACTGATTTTATCTCAATTTATATAAAAAATGGGGGTAGTCCTTGGCGGAGGTCTGCGCTCTCTGAGTGCTTTTCTAGTTATTCTTTACAACACTGAGGGTTCATTCCACCTGCTTGTCTCCATGAAAATGCATTTACTTTACCTGGAATGTCCCACAGGATGACATTTAAGTTCCTGTTGAACCAGACAATAATTACGTTATTAAGTGGATTAACAAAAGAACGAAACATTATTATTATTGCTATTATTACTATTATTGTCGTTATTGTTGTTGTTGTTGTTGTTCTGTATTTCGTGCAATATCATTTTATAATTTTTGTTACAGGCCTAAAGGAGACGCCATCGCAGGAGGACTGGCTCATCAGTGTCCTTCCTGAAAACTCCAAAGTTGGGGTTGATCCTTGGATTTATGCTGCTGGTGCACTATGATCTCTTATTATCTAGTGGATTTTCTTTTAATAATTTTAACATAGTAATATTGACTATTTTGTTTGTGTTTCAGACCAGTGGAAGAACATGTCCAAAGCTTTGACCGGTGCCGGACACTCTCTTGTGGCTGTGCATGAAAACATGATCGACGTTATTTGGGCAGACAGGCCTGAACGCTCCAGCACACAGCTACGCACTTTGGGTTTAGAGTATACAGGTTCGTACACAGTCTTATTAAAGTTAGTGGGTTTTTGTAGGATTTCATGTTAAATTTGCTTGTTACTATTACACTATTATTATGTGATCAAGGTTTGTCCTGGCAAGACAAGATCACAACGTTGCGGGCAAAGATGACAGAAAGGAAGATCACCTGGTTTGTGGCAACAGCACTGGATGAGATCGCATGTATGACAAAAAACAGTATTATTTTTACATCAGTTACATACTTACAAACTTATATGTGGCCTCTGTAATCTAATGTAAGATATGATGGTATGGGCAGATTTAAGATTTAGTTTCCTATCTACCGACAAAAACACAAAATAAGTACTTTGAGAAATTCTTATTACAGGGCCTATATTATGCTGAATTGACTCATGAGCTTTAAGCCATGTTATAATGTTGTTACCTCATCAAAAACATACTAGTTGTGTCTTGTTTCATTCACACATGTTTGAGTAATCCTTTATTATTAGTCTGTCTACATCTCCAAAGCTCAAAATGGTCTGTTCCACCTTGTGATGTCATGTAGTAGTAGTAGTTTTCAAATTAACAGCTACCTTTTTATCTTTTGTTCTGTAGGGATTGTCAATTCCAATGCTGAAATCAAATTATTTCAACATTGGAATTGATTTCTTGAATCAATCAATCAAAATAATTAAATTCTTTTGACTGATTCTTTTGTTCTGTAGTGATTAGCAATTCAGAGCTGAAATCATCCAAATGAATATAGTGAAGGTGTATGGAGTGTAAAAACAGTAGGGCATTTCCTGTATTGCCACAGTGTTTTCTGTTTTAGAGAAGAACACTAAATATGCAGGATTTGTGTGTTAAACAGGTGAGTGAAACTAAACAACTCCTGGTATGTTTGTGATGAGGAAATAACATTATAACATAGTTCAGAAAACAGCTTCATATGGGC